TACTTTTTTTATCCCTTGCAAATTAAGGTGGGACAAATGTTCTCATAAAACAAACATTTCCTTGTCTTCAAAACCACTGACAAATAGTCCAGGCTAATGAATCCTTGCCGCTCCTCAAAAACATGGTCAGCCTGTTATTCTGGAGCAGCAAAGAGAAGCAATGCCTCAAGAGCCCTGACAAAACCGAGGCCCCAAAGGCTTAAAGTTGTGACACCCTAAACGATGCCATTGGGCTCCAAGGGACTGGGACAGCTGTAACTCAAAGAAAGAGTCTGTGTGTAATGCTGCAGTAACTATACTTCAAGTTTTTTTTTCTTTCTTTATTTTTTTTTTAAATATATTTTATTGATTTTTTACAGAGAGGAAGGGAGAGAGACAGAGAGTTAGAAACATCGATGAGAGAGAAACATCGATCAGCCGCCTCCTGCACACCTCCTACTGGGGATGTGCCCACAACCCAGGTACATGCCCTTGACCGGAATCGAACCCGGGACCCCTCAGTCCGCAAGCCGACGCTCCATCCACTGAGCCAAACCGGTTTCGGCTTTTTTTCTTTATTGATTAAGGTCTTACATATGTGTCCTTAACCCCCCATTCCCCCCCCCCCACTCATGCCTCACCCCCCTGGTGTCTGTGTCCATTGGTTAGGCTTATATGTATGCATACAAATCCTTTGGTTGATCTCTCCCTCTTCCCCCACCCTCCCCTACCTTCCCTCTGAGGTTTGACAGTCAGTTTGATGCTTCTCTGTCTCTGGATCTGTTTTTGTTCATCAGTTTATGTTGTTCATTATATTCCACAAGTGAGTGAGATCATGTGATAGTTATCTTTCTCTGACTGACTTATTTCACTTAGCATAATGCTCTCCAGTTCCATCCATGCTGTTGCAAATGGTAAGAATTCCTTCTTTTTTACCACAGCGTAGTATTCCATTGTGTAGATGTACCACAGGTTTTTAATCCATTCATCTGCCGATGGGCACTTAAGCTGTTTCCAAATCTTAGCTACTGTAAATTGTGCTGCTATGAACATAGGGGTGCATATATCCTTTCTGATTGCTGTTTCTAGTTTCTTGGGATATATTCCTAGAAGTGGGATCATTGGGTCAAATGGGAGTTCCATTTTTAGTTTTTTGAGGAAACTCCATACTATACTTCAAGTTTTGATTCAAAAATAAATAACTCAAGAACAAAAATAAAATTCCTCTATAAAAGGAACATTTAAAAAAAAATCCAAGCCAGCCCTGGCTGGTTTGTCTTAGTGGTTAGAGCATCAGCCTGCAGACAGAAGGGTCATAGGTTTGATTCCCTATCAAGGGCACATACCTGGGTTGCAGGTTCAATCCCCACCGCCAGTTGAGATGAGAGTGGGAGGCAACCAATAGCTGTGTCTCTCTCACATCCATGTTTCTCTCGCACGCTCTCCCTTCCTCTCTCTCTCTCCCCTCCCTCCCTTCCACTTTCTCTTAAAAAATCAATGGAAAAAATATCCTTGGGTGAGGATAATAAAATTAAATTTAATTTAAAAATCCAAGCCACACTCACTGGCTTGAAAATGTTGTAGGATCTTAACTTTTTCCAAGTGGTTTAGAGTGAAATCAGACCCAGGAAAATTCTCTGAGGGGACTCTGGCACTGGATTTTATTTCTGACACAATTGTTCCCACAGTTCAGCAAAAGGGTCACCACATTCCAGGATCATATCCTGGATGTAAAATGTCCAGGAGATAACCAGAATGAGAGTGGGAGACTCCAGCAGCTTTTCTAGCCGCCTATAAATTGGTCAGAACAGCTCTGCCTTCTGCCCACCCCAAATGCTTCTCCTAACCGTGTCCTCCTGGCATCTCCTAGTGGCTGCCAGCATTGGAAACCAGTCTTACCAGTTCCTGAGCCACCAGCCACCTTCTCTGAGTGCCTTAAGCATGGGCCCCTTTCCCCAGAGCCACCCGCAGGGAATTGCAAGGGTGTGTGCGGGAAGGCAACTCTGCAGGCCTGGTCAGAGGTACACCTCACCCACAGGAGAAGCCACTGAGTGGTCAGGGCTCCATGAGCGCCCTGCACTCCCACCGGCCCTCGGCTGGAAGAACCCGGGCCCTAAATCTCAACTGGGGTTTTCAGTTCAGGTTTTGCCTCCTGGTTATTTATCTTCCCTCAGCTTCAGGCAAGTCAACCTACAGTGCTGCTGTTCCCAACTCTTTTCGAAAGGGAAAATTATGATGACTTCCCGGTGATTCATCCTGGATGCTCCCAGCCAGCAGGCCAAGCACACAAGGCTGCATGGTGCCTGCTTCCACAGCTCACTGGAATCAGTGAGCCATGAGGATGTGGGGAATACCAGGACCAGGATCTCCTGGTATACTAACTCCTGTGTGTGGGGGGGGGGGGGGGGGGGCGCGGAGGGGTAGGGGGGGGCGGTACAAAACCCAGCTGTCAAGGAATCCAGCATTCCTGGCTCTGCCTGGAATCTCAACAAAGGAAGTGAGAAGGGGAGTCCAGACATCCAAAAACAGCTTCCATGAGATAAAATAAAGAATGCCCAATTTTTTCCTGTTTTTAATCTGCACCCAAGGATATGCTCATTAAATTTAGAGAGAGGGGAAGGAAGAAAGAGAAACATTGATGTGGGAGAGAACATTGATCGATTGCCTTCCACGGTGCCCTGACTGGGGATCAAACCCCGCAACCTAGGTATGTGCCTCGACTGGGAATTGAACTGACAACCATTTGGTGCATGGACAATGCTCCAACCAACTGAGGCACACTGGCCAGGACAGTTTTTTTTAAATTTTAAACGTATTTTTTCTTAATTACAAAATAACTGAACTATGTAGAAAAGAACAGAAATAATATAGCCAAGGCCCAGGCACACACCAATTAGTTTTAACATTGTGTCATATTTGCTTTAAGTCTTTTTCTTTAAAAATTTATATTTACATTTACATTTATTCTAGTGGCCCAGTGCACGGATTTGTGCACATTGAAAGGAAATTAATTAGAAGAAATATTTTAATATTGCTATTCATCCTTTCTCTATAATAGAAATGTCAACAAAAACAACCAAATTCATGATCGACAATGACAGATCGAAACACACATGTGCGACTGGCACCAGTGAGAGCTTTATATGTATCGTGCATGTGCGAATCAATGTTTATTTTTAAATTGCCAGTGCGCATCATATGTACCGGCTGGTCGGTTGGTCAGACAGTCAAACGGACAGACGGACAGTTGGTCACTTAGCCTTTTACATATATAGATTCATATTCATATTCATATTCATATAATATATATACACAATATAATGTCTATATATATAAAAAGCCAGTGACTGGAATGCTGTAACGGCTGGAACGACCACTCACTATGAAGCCCACTGCAGCCAGCAAACCAGCTGATGGCGGAGGGGGGCGGGGGGGGGGGTGGGGAGTAGGGCTGGCCGGCCAACCCCCCAGAAGCCCCTCCCCCCGTTGGCCCTGCCCCTGATCACCCCCACCCCACCCCAATAGGGCCAGGGCCAGCCGGCCAACCTCCTGTAGCCCCTCCTCCCACCTGGCCCCATCCCAGATCGGCCCCTTTCACACCAATTGGGGGTGGGGCTGACCAGCCAACCTCCCACGACCCCTCCCCCAGCTGCTGACCCCCAATTGCCCCCCCACACCCCAATTGGGGGCATGGCCTGACGGCCAATCTCCCTCGGCCCCTCCCTGCAGCCAGCCCAGCCCTGATGGCCCTGGGGTGGGCCGGCCCCAGCTCAGTCCCCACAGGACAGTGCTGTTTATTTTTCCTAGTCCCTTGTGCATGGTTGGTAATCTAGATCAGGCTCAGCTGTTGCAACTGACACTGTCACATGAATTCCCTGCTCCATCTCACATCCCGGCCTCCAAGGCTGGCTGGCCACTTTGCGAATGCAGCCACTTCCAAATCCTTGAGCCGCAGCCTCTGCCTCCCTCCCTTCCTGAGCCCCACCCTCCCCTTCATGTCCCCTGTCTCAGGCTGTTCACAGGCATAATTTGGCTCTAATTCCACATCCTAAGCATTTCTATGAATATAGGCTTTGTGGACTGTTTGTTCATGTGACATTAATCCCAGAGGGGAATCAAAGCAGCATAGAGGCCATTGCCCTTGTTTGCTTGGATTGTCTGCTGTAAATGCTCACGGCAGCCTGGGAGTTGAGAACCTTCTTGAATGAGCCTGGAACAGGGAATAAGTGGGCAGAGAGGAGTCAAATCATCTCCCTGAGATGCATGGCCGTCAGAGGAGGAGAAAGGCCTATTGCGATGTCTGATTCCACACCTCAGCCACGCGGAGCATCAGGATCCTGCACAAAGCCTGGTCCCCAGAGCTGGGCCGGGGAAGGTACAGTCTGCTATGCACAGCGGGGGCCATGAAGCTCCTCCCGCTACTTTCCTGAAGCACCGGGTCACTGATTTCCCCCAGTTGGTGTCCAAACGCTCAAGGGTTCTCTTTGTAGCCCTGTAGCTGAACAAGCCTATGTTGCTGAAAATGAAAATAAGAACAAACAGCACTTCTCTTTTCAGGGGGTGAGTATGCAGGGGCATCCCAGAGCCCCAGGCTTAACAAACACCATGCATGTTGCATTTCCAAGGAGGTCCCAAAGCTGGGGTGAGTGGATGGCAATATTGCAGGAGGGGAACACCCATGGGCAGGCAGTCAGGCCCCTTCCCCTCCTCACCCCAGCCCCAGAAATGTGTTCCTTCTTCGGCTTGAGAAACACAAGTCGTACACTTGTGCTTGTGGAGCAGCTTTCCCAGCCACCACGCAGGCCACAGGGCTGTGCCTGGCTGCTCCCTTGACTTTCCCGGGAAGGAAATGGACTCTGAGGAGGTAACACTGTGACGGGAACTGCAACTGGACCACTTCTCTCTCACACCCTGTTCACTTACAGGCACACACACTCATACACAGGCCGCACACACCCTCCAGAGCGTGATTCACCCGCTCGAGGTGGTTGGACGAGGTCCCGCTTCCCCCTGTGAACGCCGTTTGGCATACAAGCTGCCCTCTGCAGTGGGCTGGCCGGTGGGCAGGGTGGTGCTTGCGCGAACCTGCTTTTAATCAAATCCAGGCTTGCCGTCCGAAGAGCAGACAGCCACAGGGAACAGGAGTCTCCCTACCTGGCCACGGGGCAACACTTGTTTTGTCTCCTCTGGGCCACTGGCAGATGGAGGCCCCGGCAGGTGAGAGAGCGGCTTCTGGAAGCACAGAAACTGCGGCAGTGGACTAGGCAGCAGCACAGGCCCTCCACATCCCCAGCAGAGGGCCAGGAGGTCTGGGAGACAGCTTAGCATTCTCAGGGAGAACTATTCCAGAAGCCGGACAGTTTCCCCAGGGCAGCAGGGCAACCGTGGGGAGCAGGGCTGTGAACTCTGCTTCTGATTGCCAGGAGGACTGACCCTGGGTCTCTGGCGGCCCAGCATAGGGAGCAGAGAGAGAAAGGGCTGGAGGCAGGGGAGCAGTTCTTATTGGACTTCAAGACAGACAGCAGCCTTACAGAGATGTCCTTGAGAAGTCCACTTCCCGTAAAAAGGAGGTAGGGGATGGAGGGGAGGGAGAGGAGGAGAAAAGGAAACCTTCATTAATAACTAAGCTATCCAAGAAGGATCGTATCAAGATGTCTTTTTTTAAGAAACAGTAATAAGGATACCAACCAGATTGCCTTCTCGTCAAGCCCTACTCATCCCCAAATCAAATCCCTTGCCTTCCCTTTGCCAATTCTTAAAATCTTTACTTTTTTTGCTCAGACATCAGTAACTCTTACAAGGTGTATTCTGAATCTTATCTTAGTCCTTAAACCATGCCTGAGGGTGAGTGGTTGGGAGCCAGCTCTGTCCACACTGAGCAACTGATTGTCACCAACTTGTGCTGAGACCCGTTTCTCTAAGCCTGTGGAGGGGAAAGATGCCTGGTGTGTGACGGTCATCAAGTTCCCAGCCTGTGGCCTAAGGGGCTCTGTGGGTCCTGAAGCAACTGGAAGGAGTCCTGGAAGCCAAATTCCCACCAAATACCTTCTAAAGCAATCCATCCAATATGGTATCCATTAGCCACATGTGGCTATTGAGCATTTGACATGAGGCCATTGTGATATGCTGAAGTATAAAATATACAATAGATTTTGAAGATTTTGTATGAAAAAAAGAATGTAAACTATCTTATTAATACGTTTTTAGTATCAATCATATGTGAACTGATAATACTCTGGTACTATTGGGTTAAATGTGATATATTATTAAAATTATTGCCACTTGTTCTTTTCTTATTGCGGTAAAGTACACATAACATAAAATTTACCATCTTCACCATTTCTAAGTGTACAGTTCAGTAGTGTTAATTACATTCACATTTTTGTGCAACAGTCACCACCATGCATCTCCAGAACTTTTTTGTCTTCCCAAATTGAAATTCTGTACCCATTAAATACTAATCCCATCTCCACCCCAACTCCAGTCCCGGGCAACCACCATTAGTTTCTCTCTATGAATTTGACTACTCAAGGTACTCATATAAGTGAAGTCTTGCAATATTTGTCCTTTTGTGGCTAGCTGATTTTATTTAGCATAATGTCCTCTAGGCTCATCCATATGTCAGAATTTCCTTCCTTTCTAAGGTTGAGTCATATTCCCTTGTATGTATATACCATATTTTGTTTATCCATTTACCTGTTGTTGAACAGTTGGGTTGCGTCCAACTTTTAACTATTGTGTATAATGCTGCTATGAATATGAGTATACAAATATATCTTCAAGACCCTGCTTCTTAATTTCCAGAAGTGGAATTTCTGGGTCATATGGTGGTTCTATTTTTAATTTTTCAAAGAACTGCCATACTATTTTCCACAGCAGCTGCACTGTTTTACAATGCCCAAAGATTCCGATTTTTCCACATCCTTGCCAACACTTGTTAGTTTCTGGGGTTTTTGTTTCTTGATAGTTGCCATCCTAATGGTTGTGAGGTAGCATTTCACTGAGGTTTTAATTTGCATTTTTCATAATGATTAGTGATGTTAAGCATCTCTTCATTGGCCATTATATCTTCTATGAAGAATCATGTTTTCTTTTAGTTTTTTTAATGTGGCTACTAGAAAATTTAGCTACATATAAGGTTCACATTTCATTTCTACTGGGTAGCTCTAGTCTAGAATGAATAAAGGCACAACTATCACACAGGAATGTTTTGACAATGAAAGGAACCCTGATATTTGAAATGAAGAGAACCTTGTTCTAAGTAATGATCTCTAAGTTTCTTTCCAGTGATCATGTTTTATGATCTCTTTCTCTCTCTGCCCTAAGTACTTAAACTAGAGCTTTTATGTCAAAGAAGAAGATACCAGGAGCCATTCTCCCTTACAGTGAGGTGTCCCCTACATACAACCTGGGAGATTCAGAAAGTGGGGGGCCCTCTTGTCTCTGCAGAGTGCCAGCTCCCATGATTGGTGTGTTGGGGGGAGGGGTATCCAGAGCTCACTGATGCCCTGAATTGAGTATAGGAAGCATCCATGTCAGAAAATTCTGCTGGTAAAATTTTGCACCATCTGAGGGAAGAATGCCTAGGGTTGGGGATAGAAAATGCCGTTTCTGTGGAAACATCAACACTACTGATAGCTTCCTATAACAGACACTGATCCTGTTCCAAGGGAGGGACTTGTGCCACCAGAATCTGGTCCTTTGGTCTTAGGGGTGGAGACTATAAGTTTGTCCCACTGGGATACATGCATTCCTTGATTCTACAGCCATCCCACCCACAGAGGCTGCTACCAATAGATCCCTGGGAGTCATAAATCGTATCTAGTAGCAGGCAGTCATCTCTTCCCACCATTGAACAGTGATAAGAAAAGGGTGGTCTCCAAAATACTGCTACTTTTCATAAATGTCCCTATGTTTCCCGAGGGCACAGTATTATTAGTCCAGATTCCCTTCCCTTTATCTTACTAAAAACCTCACAAAGGCATGGCCCACCCACCAGGAAGGGGTTGAGCCCACAAATGCTGTGGCCTATGGCTTAATTTAAAAGGGGGAAAAAAGAAGAAATGTTGTGAAAAAAGCAAGAACTATGGTGGGGTCTATTATTTCTTCTTTCTAAGTAAAAGGAATAGGTTAAAGCATGTCTACCTTAAACAATAGTTATTAATATGGTTTTAAAAGAAAATAATGGCAATATTTTAATGCCAGATAACAAGATAGAGACCAGGGGAGAATTAAGAATTAAGTTAAAATATTAGGACCTGGTCACCTATTATGAAAAGATACTGTAAAGAATAATACTAGAGAAAATATGTTAATGTGCTGGAGGAAATACTGTGTAAACACAAGGCTTTATAATTTATGCATTAAATGCAACTTATATAAATTATCTTCACTTATCTAGATTTTTATAAATACAGAGAGATTTGATAACTTGGTAATAATGGCAACAAAGACCTAGACATTTCCTTTTATACCCAAAGTTCCTAATATCTCTGTAGTATAGTCCTCTAATGTCTATTATGTCAGTTTCCTTATCTGAAAAATTAAATTAAAAGTTGAGAATCATAAAAATGATGATTATGAAAGAACATATAGTTCATTATGCAAGACTTCCTAAGTGGGAGACTAAGAAAACAGTGATTTTCATAGGAAGAAATGAAAACCTATACAGGCCTGTGAAAGACAAAAGACAGGCTTTCCCACCCAATCCACCAGTGGAGATCATTTTCTAGGAGGCTTACAGGGAAGCTGTGGTGTAATATGCACCGTAAAGTTCATATTTAACGTACAGAACCTTTTCTCTACAATAAGTGGCATGAGGGTACGAGAGAGTTCACCAAAGAAAACAGAAAATAATACTGGAACCTCTGCTATTATGTGAAGAAAGTTTCCTGTAAGTAGCAGCCTAGTTCCTGGAGAGGAAAAAGGTGTGTATGTATGTATGCTTTTCGCTTCATACTCATAAAACTCTAAGGTACTGTGTGCTACTCTCCGTCTTTCCTTCCTTCCTTCCTTCCAAAAAAGGGGAAAGCATGGATGCAAGCAGCGCCTTCTCAGAAATCTGTAGGCTTCTGCCTCCAGTTCTGCCCGAGTTATTGAATGAGCCAGCTGGCGAGGGCTGCAGAAGCCATTCTCCTAGCATCGGAGGCACCTCGGCCTGAAGCAGGTGTGGTGGCGACACAGGCGGTTTGTTATGCAGGGTCAAGTTGGCACATTTCTAGCCCAGGGCTCTGCATAAATGTTTAGATTTTGTTTTCAGCCCCACGGTGTTCAACTTGTCAGCGTGAAAGGAGGCCCCTGCTTGCTGCATCCTTTGTCTCCTCTCATGGCCTGGTGCGGAGTCAAGAGGTGAGAGGAGAGGAGAAGGGAGGGTGGGAGGGGTCAGGAGAGGACGGAGGAGCGAGGATATTTTGCAGCGGTGTCAGCAATCCCCAAGAACTACTTTCCAGGCTCCTCAAATTCCTCCCCTTCTCTCTTCTCTGGGCTTGCCCTGCACCAGCAGTGGGAATCCTGCTTGTTTACACAGCTCATTATGCTGGCTTTGCAGTTGCTATAGCAACCACCAGGGGTCAGTTTATAGAAGGAGAGGAAGTTCACTTTGGGGGAGTTAGCTTTCCAGCTTCTGTGCAAAGCACAGCTGAAAACAAAAGACCCAGACACTAAGGAGGAAACACATTGAAAAGTTTCCTATGAGCAGAAGCATCGTTCAGAGCATAAAACTTCACTCAGCAATGCCACATTTTTTCCTTCCTGAAAGAGCTGTTCTAGAACCGCAGATAGGAGAGGAAAGGTCTTAAGATTGCATCTTCCAGATTTTCCGTCCTCTCACTCCTTTGCCTTGCCTTTAAGATCTTAAGCAGTTGCTAGTAGTTAAGATAATAAGGGCAGCTACCAGGGTTCATTTAAGGTGATAACGTCATACATATAATGTATTAACTAAGGGTCACAAAGATCTTTGTGAACTATTACTACTTGCATCTTTTTCATGGGGAGGAAGGTAGCAGGCCTTTGGAACACAACGCCTTTCTCAAGGTCCGAGCCAAACAAAATGGAGCCACCACACCCTCAAGGAGGGTTCTGGGACACCCCCCAGGACGCCTCTGGAGCAAAGATGTCCAGTCTAACCTGACCAGCTAATCTGAATTAGCACATAAAAAACACAGGAAGCCCAATTAAATTTGATTTCAGATAAATGATGAATGGATTTTTGTATAAGTGTATCCCACACAATCTTTGGGACATACATATGGCAAGTCTAACTTAACCGAACCCTATCCTAACCCACCTCCTCACTACCACTGCCTCCAAAAAAAGTACAACAGGTGAATTCTCTCTCCAAAACAAAGTGCCAGATTACTGTTTAGAACAGGGATAGCGAACCTTTTGAGCTCGGCGTGTCAGCATTTTGAAAAACCCTAACTTAACTCTGGTGCCGTGTCACATAGAGAAATTTTTTGATATTTGCAACCATAGTAAAACAAAGACTTTGATATTTATTTTATATATTTAAATGCCATTTAACAAAGAAAAATCAACCAAAAAAATGAGTTCGCATGTCACCTCTGACATGCGTGTCATAGGTTCGCCATCACTGGTTTAGGATAATCTAACCCTTGGACTATCCTGCTGATCATGAAAAAAAATGAAGGGCTGTGTGTGTGTGTGTGTGTGTTTACATATGCAAATACAGTGGGGCCTTGACTTACCAGTTTAATTCGTTCGGAGACTGAGCTCGTTAAGGAGCTCGTTAACTCAAATTACTCTATCAACTCAATGCAAAAAATTGGCAGAGAGACAGCTGGTATCTCAAAAAACTCGTTAGTCGGGACACTGGTAAGTCAAGGCCCCACTGTATTAAACCAGACGCAAGTGAACTTACCAACAGGCAGATGAGTTTCCTGATCTTAGATCCAAACACCAGCTTAAGAGACATGAGGATTAAAGAGAAAAGAATTCAGTACTGGGCTTTGTAAGGTATCTACTACTTTTTCAATAACAGCAAGTCAGCTTTCTAAAGAATAATCATGGCTAATATTCAAAATATATAAAGAACTCATATAACTCAATGGCAAAAAACACACACACAAAAAAACCCAATCCAATTTAAAAATGAGCAAAAGATCTAAATACACATTTTCCAAAGAAGACATACAAATGGCCAACAGGTACATTAAAAAAGTGCTCAGTATCCCTTGTTATAGGGAAAATGCAAATAAAAACCACAATAAAATATCATCTCACACCTGTCAGAATAGCTTTTATCAAAAGGACAGGAAATAAATGT